TTTAATAATAATAATAATAAAAATGATAAGAGCATTTGTATCCTGCCTTTCCCAGCAACATGGGCCCAAGGCGTACATAGAAGACTAAAAACCCATTCATACTAACACCATACATATTCATCATGAGCGCACACTTTGACAGCAACATTCTTTCAGACAATAAAAAAAGCTCATACAAAAAGTAATCTATTTTCTTTTCCACAAAATGCAAAAGGCTGAATTACTAGACCTTTTGTCTTATTGGGACATTAGACTTACAAAATTTAATTTTTATCAATAACTGAAAAGATCATAGAACCAGATGTCAAATGATTCGAATTTCAACAGATGTAAAACATCTTTTAATATCATGAGGGAAAAACTTTGTTTTGAAGTGAGGAAAGACAAAAAAGTTTACATCATCATCCACAGGATCATCAGCATCCAAGTTAGCCGCTGGAATTTGTTCTAGTCGAGGTCTCTTACTGCTGCCAGAATCTGCAAACAAAGAGGGAAAAATACAAACAATGAACACAATTCAATAGACTAACCAGTGCCAGGACAACACCTTGAACACAGCATACAGGCATTCAGAAATCCGCTGTAGTACTATTGCTAACATAAAAACACAAAAATAGGCACACTTGAAAAAAGAAAATATGTTTTGTACTATATCTTGAAACAGAATGCAAAAAAAATTTTTTTGGTGATTCTATAAAATGTCCAAATCACACATACTAAAAAGTGGACATGAACTTGAGGTGGCAAATGTATGACCAGATGCAAGTTATCGTTTTATTTTGTCATTGTTATTTGTCTACAATTTTACTCCACAAAATCAACCCTCCCCCCCTCCCCAGGGCGGCGCCACTGACTGAAGTGTCTTTAGGCCATACCCAAGGGGGGACATTTACTTGTTCTTATGCACAGTAGAATTGTAAATGGGCTGATTCAACAATGTCATGCTCACAACTGTGCCTGAACTACAACATGAAACGGCTGTTTTTCTTTCCAAATCCTTACTATCGTCATTTTTCCATTACTTCTTTTGTATGTCACACTTTTGTGACCCGTTATTTCCTGGGTACCTTGATAGTTGAAGTAGACTTTGTGCTGTTGAAGCTAGAGAGGTGAGCAGAGTAAGCCTGATATATTTTTTTGACTATAAGGGAGAAAAAAAGCTGGAGTGAAATTCTGAGGAAAAACAATTTGGTATTTCCCATACACATCAAACAAAAAAGTTCGCATTTTCGTGACTTACCAGGTACATTATAAGGCAACAAAGTGGTTCAATAGAAAACAATTCACCCTAAAAATGACTTATGACATATCTAATGTCCTAGAGTCCTACTGACCTCGGCCACGGTCTCGCTTCTCCCTCGATGACCTTTCTCTTTCCTCCAGTTCCCGCCGGAAGTCACGGCCTCTCAGCTCATCCTGAGTGTTCTGGCCCTCCTGTCTGTGGACCACAATGACACACACAATTGCAATAAAAAGTACACACTGAAAAGGCCAGCTAACCTACTGTGCTGTCAACTTTATCAACCCTTTGAGCGCTGAGATTGTGAACCTAACTTTACCTAATCCTTGCCTCCTGAGCGCCCAGGTTCAGGGAGAGAGCTTCATCGAGGAAAAAATTTAACCCTCAGTGAATCAGAACAGGATGTGATCAAAACATATATGTTAAAAGGACACAAACATGTCAGTATCCCATAATAGCATGCTGACAGACTAGCGTACAGGTTTATAGAAGATACTACCTTTTTCTGTCCAACAATTCATTACTCTCACCTCACGCATGATGCAGTATTGTGCTATCAATTCGTTCCTCCAGACGGTTCTGAAAAATGCCCTAGCCAAATGAATTCAGCCTAAACTCACTTCGAAAACACTTAAGTACTAAACACAACAGTTTTTCTCTGTGCCCACCTGTATTTGGACTTTGTGTGTGATGGGAGATCTCTGCTGGAGTACTGTTTGGACAAAGCACTGAGATCCCCCTCTCCTTTCCCACGACCACCTTTGGCGGTGTCCCATGTGGGCCGTGCCGCTGTTGTCATTGTGATCAATCAGAACCTTGGGAAAGCAAGAGACAATATAACAATGGTTTATATTTAAACATTCACAGCATGCAATTCAATATATGTACAATATTATATGATATATTGTTATAATATATTACAGTCACCTTCATTCCCCTGAGATTACTTAAATAATGTTAGTATTATTATCAAATTAGAAGCCTGATCCGACGCTCAGAGAAACTTATTCGACTCATTTCTTTTTCTTGTTTCCTTTTTTTAAAGTTTATTTTAACTTTTATTACTTTTATTTACATTGTGTACATAATGATATTTGCGGCCAGAGAATTCGATAAAAAGGATTATTAAACCAAATTTGGTGATATTCAAGAACTGTGTTGTTTTAACCAAGGTAAGGTTACATTTCATTACGAAGTGTATACAGACCCGGTAACCGGGAACAAAGTCACGAAGCATACAGACCCGGTAGGGGAACTCTTTTGTGATTTTGGAAAGTTTCAGCGCCCAGACCCAGTAGTGTGTGTGTGTGTGTGTGTGTGTGTGTGTGTGTGA